GCTTATGAGGCTTGAACTCATTTGTGAAAGTTAGCAGTGTTAAGAAAAATAGTCTCCAGCATGAGTAAAGATTCCACAAGCTGCCTCAAAATATGCAGTGACACCTAATAATTTAAAAATAAAACCAGAAATATGGAGACAAAACAACACTGATAGGCTGAAATCTAAAACTGAAAGGACTTATTCTTTTTCTTCTGGCACTCCATTTTTATACTGATTGATTTGAAAAAAATTTTGACTGAAAAGGCTTAATCTTTTACCATTACCACAACCATACTCTCACTGTAACGACATTTCAATGATCAACTATACAAACACAGAACTGTTTTCACTAGCATTTCTATTTTTCTATTTCTATCTTAAATGGGTTAAATATAAAAATATACGTGCAACTCAGTGTATTATTTGACAACATACTGATTTTCTGTATGAAATTCTGATTCTTATTTTATAAAAAAATACTGGACATCAAAATACTTTGTTCCTCTGCAACGTCATCATTGTACAAATATCACACGAACTTTATACATGTAATCCCCATTCAGTCCCAGCAGAGTCTTCATGTAGTTTTCCCTCATGTAACAGCAGCAGCACACACACACATGTGCACTTCCCCTTCCATACAAGTGCTGTAGAAAGGTTTTCCCAATATGAGCTAAGGTATAGCAACACCTAATGCTGGATGCACGTTTGCTTTGCTCAGTGTCACCACGTGAGCCCTACTGCTGCAACCAGATGCCACTGGAAACACACACAACCACACTGCTCCAGTCAGGCTTACAGATGCTCTTTACATGGAAACAGACTGCTATTATCACAAACCTTACTCTCATTATGTGACTTTGAAATAGGAAACTACATTGTCAGAGCTATGAAAAAGAAGCAATGCTGTGAAGACTCAGAGGCAGACAGAGGGAGTAAGACATGTTTTGGTTGAATTAGCCCTGAAAGATTGTTGCTACACTACAACCATTGCAGATTTATATTGCCGGTTCACAAATTTCAACAGTCATATTTTCTTTTGTAATTTAGTTGCTAGAATAATAATAGAATGCCTACTATCTGCTGGTATATTCACTTCCTTGATCAATACAAGATTAACCATTATGCAAAAGTGTAGAAACCCACCCTGAAATCTTAGTCAAGCAAGAATTTTCATGATGTTCAGTAGCTGCAGTGACAGAGGACAGACTGAGTAAATATCAGAGATGTATCCTTTATACAGAAGTATAATTTAAAAACCATGAAACTACATCACAAAGTTGTTATAGAAACAGCTAAAAAGCAAAGTCAATGAAGAATCCCCATCCCTCTTAATGATTGCACAGTTCCAAACACGATGCAAATAAAAGAACAGTGATGCAAATCTCTTACAGCCCAGCACAGAATGACATATTGAGAATACACCATTGTCCTTACCATGGCTTAGAATTTCACTGCTTTAGTCACTGAGCCAAAACATCTTCATAGGGTTAGGTCCTTTTATAAAATCATCCGTTAATACAAGAAAAATCAAAACCACTTCTTTAGTAGCATAAGTTAGAGAAATTACTATTAAATTGTAATGTCTTGAAAACAAACACAGGCACACCTGTACAGGACTAATTTTCAATATTGAAACATCTCAAGACCTTTCAATACAACAGCATTCCAATCTTGCATTCTAAGAAATATTGCTGACAGAGTTGCAAAGGAAATAAATGCAACTATGTCTTCCTTGAATACGACTGTAATAAAAAAAAAATCCCTTGCCCAAAAGTTACAGAAGCCTACAGTCTTAACTTAACTGTAATCACTTTTTAAAGTCTGCATGCCCTCAAGTTGCTATTATTGAGTTAGTATTGTCTCAAGTGAAAATAACTATGCCTCTTCTCCACTCTAAAGCTACACAAAGTTGCTCTCCCCTTCAGAACATAACCACCAAGAAGCTTGTTATTTTTTCACATTTTTTCTTGCCAGTGTGAATTATAACACAGTTTAAAATAAACTTTACCTTTTCCTCTACATTTAAGGTTGTTTCTCCATTCCTGATCAGTAGTGTCCTGATCAGCTCTGTTTCTGTAATGGAATATGGATCACTACTTTGGTCTTCTCTGTAACAATTACTGCTGTGAGTTTTTTTAAAGAAACTATGTGTATTATTCAGGACCTTGTAAAACTACCTTGTTTTCTTGTAAGTTGAATTTTTATGATCCTCAGACTGACAACCAGAGCAGTAACTAAGACATCATTTGGTAGACACAAGGAAACAAGCTTTTCTTTAGTTCTAAACTTCACAACAAAATGGAATGCCTGAAATACAATGCCAACCAAGCCGTATTAGCATGAATATGATAACTTACAATTGATAGCTAAAGGTTAGATATTGATACTTAAAATATCACTGTTTCTCCACATGAAAACTACTACCAGTCTCTTACTCCTTCATTAAATCTCATTTGTTCCTTAATGAGGAATTTAAAGAGTAATAAAATTACTTCACTGGATTCTTTGTCTCCTGAATGTGTGAGAGAGAAAACAAGAAGCCTATTCTTGATATACAAATACGCAATTTTTTTGCAGCAATCACTAGGACTTGCATAACAGACTTACGTGCATATATACATATATATTTAGATTTATAGATGTATATATTCAGATGAGTATTTGACCTTCATAAAACAACAAGATGCTTATGGAATGTAAAGAAGTACTTTACTATAAAAATGATACTTTACAGCATGTCATACAGGTTTTCCTTGAAACGCATGAATTCAAGATGACCATCAAAATATAGGAAGAAAATGCATTTTTAAACATTTCCAATACATCTGAATATCGCACTAGATTTTGACATCACCTGTATCTACAGTGACTGTGAATTTATGCCATTAAGGACATGCTCCGGTTCCAAGCACAGTTAATGTAAATCTTTTACACAACTCAATATGTTTTGGGTTCATACTACATTAAGGTCAGATCACTTCTGGTCTCTACATTTGACCCTGGTACTCATTTGACAGGGATTATAGAGGTGAAACTAATATTAAAATCTGGTGCTGTAAATCAGAGCAAATACTGTGGTCTTAAGGCCTTAGTGAATTTAATTTCTAACAGTAGTATTAAGTTACACATACCAGCATACGTACTTCAACAGATACTGACACAATTTTTTAAACACATACAATAAAATCTATTCAATTTAGTACTCCTCTGCAAATTTGTTCTGAGCCTGAGCAGAGCTCAGAACATTAAACATGGGTAAAGCAAGAAAAGTTCCCTTTCAGAAGTGAAGTCAGTCATGCAGACGAAACCAAAGTACTGCATAGAAAAGGAAATCTCTTTAACCACGGGTTCCATGTAAAACAGCCCCAGCGACAGGCGGCACGATGTGTAACAACAAACCAAGCACGGCGCATCTCACCTGCACATTTCATGTGTAAGGCGCAAGCACATTAGGCACAAGTGTAAACAGCAGCTCACTGAAACACCATTACTCTACAAGTGCTCATGGTATCAACAACTTTATAAACTAGTGTAGCTTTGGCCTGCTGCTCAACTTTCGTTTATTCTTTCCTCTTCTGTACACATCCCATTTCTACTCATTTCCATGGTAAGTTCTACATTCATTTCCAACGCTTTCAACAAAACATAAACTGGTATTTTATTCTCACACACCAGTTACCAAGACCAGCAGAAAGATGATATATGAATATGTAAAGGAAAGGCAAATTAAACTTAAATTAAAAGCTAATTCATCATTATATATTGTACCAAGTTCTGAAATTGAAGTAGAAATATGGAAGAAAGTTGAAATTCATTACTTATTACATTTCCCTATAAAGATCCCAGCTTGCTACTATGCAGAAATAGAAACTCTGAATGTAGTTTGCAACTAGTTTATAATTCAGACAGTACTAGAGTCACTACAAAACAAGAAGATATGAATAGAAAGTTTAAAGTTAATAAAAGCCACTTATATCATTATATTTGTCTTTCAAAATAAACACATTTATAAAACAAGAGTACATTTTATATGTGCTAATTGAGGGGTTTGTACACCATTACAGCTCAAAGCCTTAACATTAATGTAAACTGATTGCAGATTAATGCAAGCCATCATACAAGAAAATCTCACTGGTAATCTATCATGATAAGGTGGTCATGGTCAGCAACTTTATCTGTTCAAGAATGTGATCTGCTAAGTTCTGCAATGCTACAATATTTCATCATTATAAGCATTTCTTTAATTTCCACAAAGAAAACCTTGTAGTATGTGGCAATCTCAGTTGTTGCTTGTAGTTAGTGAGAAAACAGGATTTTTTAAAAACAGAATAAAACATGAATGCACAAGTATTATCCATTGTGTCACTTAATTTTACCGCAACAGCTCATTCTCTGTGTGTAGTATGTTCCAAGAAAATGAAACAGCAATGTACATCCTTATTTGATCTTAGTACGCAAGAAACATCCTCCATAATAATCAGGTCTATATTGTCTTTCTCAGAAAAAAGCAGCACTCTTTGCCTGATCAGTTTATTCTTAATCAAGAAAGTGACCTGTGCTCTCACATTTCCCACAGTAATTGTTTTCATTCTTTATTCACTGAACTATGAACTCCAGAAGAAAAACAGATCTGTGACATTTATTATTAATCTATGTTAATAATGCACAATAAATATAAACCATAATATAAGAAATTAGTAATTCTGTCAAAATCCTTGCCCCTGGTTTTTGCTTTTTTTATGCTGATAACATACTAGACATGTTGGAAACCACCATGACTCTAAGAGAAAATTTAACCATGAAAAGGTACTAGAAAATAAGACAACTAAACCACACGTAATAACCCACCAGTCAAACTTCACTGGATTTCCCAAATTACAAAGATGCTTTCATTCTCTTCTATTGCTTTACTGGTAGAATTGTAGCATTGGACATGTAGTTATGCAAGAAGACTTAAAGTAAAGAAAGGTGAGAAATCAAAGAGTTTGAGCTATCACAGGCTCATTATTTGATACCTTGCTCTATACTGCCACTTCTTACTGGAACTTGTGGTAGCTGTCTTCCCCTACGACTGCTGAAGGAGGTGTCTGCAGGAGGAGACTGTGTGGGACTTCCTTGCTGATGTGTTCTGCAAATGAAATTGAGATAAAAGCAAAATAAGGCAAATAAAGAGACATTTTATATACTGATTTTTAAACACTAATCAAGTTGCAGGTACTGCAGATGGGTTTGAAAATGCTTGCATTTGGTCTATACCATATGCACATACTCAGGTATAGATAGCTAGTCAACTTAAAAGGTCTTACATTTAATTTCTCCAACTACCTTTAGCTATAGAAAAATTATTTCCTTTTGGTTTTTTTATTTACTTTATTTATTTATTTGTAAGTTTGTTCTGGTTTGGGCTTTTTGACATTTTGGGTTTTGTTTTTTGTTTTTTTTTTAATAAGTAATTCGATAAGTAATATTGAAAAACCAGTGAATGAAAAGCAGTTTTCTAAGAACCACATGATTATTACTCAAAATTTATATACATTCTCCTGCATTGGTATAAGAGTAATAAAAAGTGCCACTTTTATGTTTTATTAAATTTAGTATTCCCTTTATGCTGATGCAATAATTGCACAAGACCACTGGACAGCAAGTATCTATTTCCAAAGGACAGCATGTGTTTTTTCTTCAGAACACAAAGAAGGAAAAAGACCTTTAAGCTTTGTATTGGGATTGGGGAAGGGAGGTGTGTGTGCATGCAAAATCTGGACAAGACTTTTAATATTAATACCTAAGTAAATATTCTAAATCACTTTGGCTGAATTCTAGCTAGCACAGTTTCAGAACATTCTGGCTACTTGACGTGTTATTCACAGATACAAGTGTAATGCATCACATACCTTTGGAACCCTATCATTTAAAATAAGTATGGGCACCTATAGTAACTATAGGGAAAAGGTTTAAGAAAGTAAAACAAAGATGAGAAGCAGCAGATGGCTGAGGAGAGCTTACTGTGAAATGCCCTTGCCAGTTACAGCAAAGTCATCCTCACTATAGCACATAAGCACCATTTATCCAGTTGCAAATACATAATTTGTAATTTCAAGTAGCACATTTGTGCAAGTTCAAAAAACTGTTGGCTTTCACTAGGTGGATCAACTGACATCCTCTCAGCCTGTAAGATCAGTTTGCTGTGTGAACATAGCAAACACAAGGTAACAGCACATACAACAAAAGGACTAGCACAGGGTAGCCTATGAATACCTGGGATTACCACTAAAGCATTTCTGTTTCTAAAACATACCTTTTCTTTTTATTAAAAATATTAACTTCATTTCAGTTAGTGACCTAAAAAAGGACAATATGGAAGCACACCTGTGATTTCCTTATTTCCCTTCACAGTTTGAAATAGAAAACCTATTTAAGTACCTGTACTAAAATAGAAACATAGCTCTAAAGGAACTCTAATGAAAGTATAACATACTATGCAGTAAAATGATTGATCATGTTAGTATAATAGAACATGAGTATTGCTAGTTCCATAACTGCACACACTACAAGATAACCTAAAGCATTTCCAGTTCGTAAAGTGACAAAATATTTTAACTGTGCCCTTTTACTCTTCTTTGGCTTTCCAAGAGGGCAGTCTGTTGTGAATGGAACTACTGTATCAGAAATTATATCAGAAATTTCAATACTTGTGCCATCATTTAATTGTGGGGTGCTGTGTTGGGGTTTTTTTGGTGGGTTTTTTTGTTTTGTTTTGTTTGTTTGTTTGTTTGTTTTTGTTTTAAATTTCTGCTGACTTATGAAATCTCCCTTCAAACACCCACCACAACTTCCCTACAAGATACAGTCAAGGTATCCAAGGAACTCTCTGGTTCATATGACTATCATACACTAAGAAGTAATCCTAAAAATGTCCCTATATATGAAATAACACAAGGATATGAAATATCCAAGGATAACAAACAGGTTTGAATTCAAAATAATTCAATAAGTAAAAGTCCCTGTGGAAGACCAGCCACAATGCAAAAAACCCCAAGATTCTGTTGCTTGAGCTTGTATTGTCTCTTAAATCCTAACATTTCTTCATCTAACTCCTGGCTTGCCCTAGTGATAACCATAATCTTGCAGATACTGAATTTCCTGATTCTGAAATATATTTACAATAACAAAGATGACCTGACTTCTGAAAATTTCTGTTTCTCCATGCTGACCACAAAAGTAATCCATGCCAACTATTGCACATGACCAGGTTTTAAGCATGTATCAGATGTCTAAACATCACAACATCCATAAGGTAATTATGGACCTTACTCTGTGCCAGAAAGTTCTTGTTTGCTTTTGCTATGCAAAAAGTATATATGGATATATCCACATATGGATAAATACTTCAATCTAACAAAGTCACCATGTTCTCAGTTATGATTTTTTTTCTTTTAGAATCTAAATAGCCAGGAATTTAGCTGAGTGTCCAGTGAAACACTGGAAGTCTGTTCTTCCATTACAGAACTGGACAGGACTTAAGCTGCAGCTCAGAAACTTATCTCCTTCTCCAGTAATACTCTTTTTACAGACATGTCGCCTTCCAAGAAAAAGATAGAGGATCTGCTTAACTCAAATGAAGACAAATGAGGCTTAAGGTTTGCATTAGCTGGGGTATTACAATGAGATTAATATGCCTCTTGGGGTGCAACTAAAAAGAGAGACAAAAGGCAATTGAAGAATAACTAGCATGGCATTAAGGACTTCCTGCCCTAGGAGAAAGATCTGTTGCTCGCAGGAAGAAGCCTGCAAATGGCTGAGTAGAAGAATGAGACAAAAAGGAACATAGGACAATTATGGAAGACAAAAACTAGGGGGAAGATGAGAGAGAAGTGAGATAAGAAGTAGAGAGAGAAGAGGAATCTGGGAAAAAATGCTACCTGGTGAGCAGTGAGACTGCAATGTGTGTCTCCTGATTAGTCACAGAGGAAGGAGATACTGCAAGCAGCAAACCTATTAATTCAGCAGGCAGTGGCCTACAGGGGAATCCTACAGGTTCCAGCTCTGCCAGCAAACAAGAAAACTCAAATTCCTTTCCCTTCAGACTGATGCCTTAGTAGCATGCTGCTACCTAAGAAACTATAAAGAAAAACTAAGAATAGGAGAGGGTTACCAATCCAGCTCACAGCAGGAATGGTGTCCTATGCTAAATATAGAAAATAAAGATCAAGATTGCATGTATCCTAAAATATGACCGTAATTAATATTTATTACATATATTTAGTCATTTTAGCCCTAATCCTGCTAGGGTTAGGGCTGAAAAAGAACATTTTAGAATTGAGATGGACAAATTTTTGCTCATTCATACAAGAACAAAAAATAATTTTTGCGTAATCAATTTTACTTCTTCATACCTGAATCCTATTTAGAAGGCTTATCTTATTCAATTAGGGGAACATCTAAGCTTTATAAACTATCTTGAAAAGGCTGTTTTTCTCTCTTCTATGTACATTTCCTAAACTATCATACTACACAGAAAACTTAATCTTACATAGCATGTTGAAATGCATTATAGAGAAGCTGACAGCATTCTAAGAGGTTATTCCAGTAATCTGCTTAACTAATAATAGACAGGATTTGCAAATGGCAAAATAAGATCCAATGGTAAGAGAAAAATGAATATTTGAAGAAGATGTCTCAAGTTGTATTTGACAGGAAAATTCATTTCCTGTCCTATTACCAAAACTTTCTGGCACTAGTGCAAAATGCATCTATGATGGATGAACCAAACTAAAGAATTCAGACTTACTGAAACATTTTTTTCCACATCTAATGCGAGTGAATCATTTTATGGGAACAGAAGCCTACAACATGTTCCATGGAGATTTAAAAAGAAGCAGTACAATTCATGTTTCCCTCTGTTCCCTGGGTTCATTGCTGAATTACAAAGAGCCAAGCCCTTTGGACATCAGTTACTTTTCAGAAGTCAGAAAAAACAGTAGCAAAAAAAAAAAAAAGTTTTAGTAATCTCCATGACACAAAAGTCCCTGATTCAATGATATCAAGGATTTCAGTCATCATTTAGGTAATCTCTCTGATTCAAACAAAAAAAGCACCTGGGTTGTTGTGAAAACAGTCATCTGACTCAAGGAAAATATAGCTATTGCTTTTGGATCAGGAACAATTACATGGGACTAGAAGCAGTAAAACTAAAAAAAAAGAGCTTAAGTTTTGTTACATAATGTGCATTTTCATTGAAAATAGAGATGTCTATGTTGTTCATGGAAGTTTTAAAGCTCTCACAATGTGAACAGATGTACATTCAACCTCTGTGAATCAAAATAACATAAATCAATTTCTGGCAAAGGCAGGATCTTCTCTGTCCTTTAAATATTGGAGGCTTAAAATATATACAATATATAGGGTTTAAACCTTAACTAGATGTACTTATTCTGTATATATTTTTAATATTTCTACATATATATCTTTATTTAATTAATTAAATAAATATTTCGATTAATATTTCTATTAATATGTTTCTATTCTTTCTATATCTCTATTTTTTCTACTTTTTCATAATATTTATGAACATGTAACCCCATACTACTATAACATCAAAGTTAGAAGATATAATGACAATACAAATTCAGAAAAATTCAGTTAATAAAATAAAGTTCCAGGCTTTATATTAATTTTATGAAATTATAGATTTAAATGTGTCACTTAAGTTTTCTATATATTAAAATGAAATTAATTTGATCAGAGACATTTTGAATTATTTATCTGTTATAGCTGTCTATATATTTATATAATCCATTGTGGTCTTTCATCCTTCAAGTTAGCATAAAATAAGGATTTTTTTGAAAAAAAAATCAATGTTAAAGTGCAGAAAAGCACTTCTAGTCTCTGTCATTGAGCTTATCTGCAATGATGGAGAATGCCAGAAAAATTCCACATGTATGCAACAAAGTTCTAATAATACAGATACAAAATATATAATGCTGTAAATTATGGCAACATAGCCTTTTGTCACAGATGGTCTAAAAAAGTTGTATGAGAGGTATATTCCAAAATCTGAAATTGGACTGATAATAAGAGATGCTTACACATCAATCAACACTCCTACCTTTCTGTTTCAGCTGCAGGGCCTTTCCTAGCTTGTTTTTGGCTGCTATATCTTTCCACTTTTCTGGACTGCCTGTGAAATGACATGTCAGAAAAGAAATAAACAAAGAAGAAAAAGAATATAGAAATATGAAGATTATTTATTCATGTATTATAAAGGTAATAAAAGAAACAGTTGACAAATGAGAAAGTCACAACTATCATCATAAACAGGCTGGTGAAGTCTAGGCTTAAGAGACATTGCATTAATTAGGTTTGATTGAGATTCATGGTGTGCAGCTTGTGAGGTACCAAACCAGGGAAGAAAACATCAATCCTGACTGAGCCTGCAACTAGTTTCCACTTCACAGCCTGCATTTGACTGGAAACAATGACTCCTCATAGCCCTATAAGGCATCTCTTAACAGCATGAGTTCAACAAGTTCAGAGTAGACAGCAGGAGAAAAACCTTGCAGAAAGAACCAGAAAGCACTACTTGAAGAAATAGAAATAGATATAAAAATTGCTTTTAAATCTAAATTTCAAAAGCTAAACCAATACTGCATATCAGATTTTAAAAAAGCTGTCACTATATTAATAAAAACTTGTTTTTTCAAAAATCTCATTCTATTACCTTTTAATAAGGTAATAATAAAACCAATAATTAATTATTATAATAATTAATAGGTAATAATTAAACCAATTCTACTTTCTTCCAATGCTACTTTCTTCCAAGTCAATATAAGTAAATTGGAAATTATTTAACTCCCTCACTCCTTTCCTACACAAAGCTTTTACAGAATTAATCTGACATTTAGATAATGAAGCACTAGTTACCTCACACAATCTAAGCACTCACTTTGATATTAAATAAGAACAAAGAAGAATAATAGGAGTCTATACATTTAAGAAAAAAGGTAAAGCTACATTTCACCATTATTACCCAGGACTATAAATATAATATGTAAATCTCTGCAAGTCTTGTGCTCCAAAATTTTCTGTATTATCCATAGTAATGTTAGCATTTACAAAATAGAATTTACCACTTTAAAAATCAGAAAATCATCAAGATGTATTATTTTTCAGAAGAAAAAGTGCATACACTGTTTCAGGAGTGGTAAAACCAGGGAGTGATGATTATTCAACCAGAGACCAGAAATACTGACAAACTTTAATACATGCAATATCTTGCAATGATACAATCAATGTCATATATTAGGCTCCATAAATTACTGCGGGTGAAACAGAGAGACAAAAATAATAATTAAAATAGCATGTTTTCCTTTTAAACCTTTGTGGTCATAAAGAGTAATCCAGTGCCTGATCTGGAAGAGACCTAAACAACTGTGACACCAAACTATGCCCAAAGAACATAATCATAGTGTTTTTTCATTATTTTTACCCACTGCAATATTTGATGAGCATTTTATTGTGATGCAGTAGATTCCACAAAAAAGAAAACACTGCGGCAAAACAAAATACTTTCTGCATGAGCAAAGGTCATTACCTGATGCTTTTAGAATTTTAAAAAATATATTTTCTCATAAAAATTGTGTGCCAGATTAAAAACAGAAATCCCTTTTGCCCCAATCTATTTTCTTGTATATTCTCATTGTTTTTCAATTTTTTTTCCTCAACAAGGACAAATATAAAAAGAGTACAGAGAAAAATATACATATTAAATGCTGCAGCTTTACTTAAAACCTGCAGTTAGCAAAGTTCTAAAAGCTATGGCTATATTCACTGTATCCAGCAGCATTACCACTCCAATTATGTCACCTGATCAATTTTCTGTTTAGCTGGTTCTGTTTCTTGGTTATTTTTCTCTTATTCCTTATGTTGCTTGCCAAGACTGTGATGTTGCATACAATGGAGAAAGAGAGCTCCTGGTTTCAGTCAGATGGAAAAGCCAAGAGCAGGATGTGCTTTGCTGTGACAAATAACACAGTAATACACAGCACTAATGAGCTGAGTACACTTATTTCTCTGCTCTTAGGGCTGTCCTTGAGAGCAGCACATACCAGAAATTATTTAAAATCTGTTTCCCTTTTGTTTCCTCCTCCTGGCTAAGATGATGCTGTATACATTTCCAATTAGCCCAACATGCTCTGATTTACTCCCTAAATGTACATCATAGGAGAAAAAAAATAATATCCATGAATGATACATGCACATACGTATTTGTACATAAAACCAGGGGAAAAAAAAACAAAAGAAAGTGTGTGAAAGTATGCAGAGCACATGAAGAATATACGATAACCAATACCTCATTTACTTTGATCTATGATTTGAGTAAATAAGGATACCTCTGTGCTGCTCCAGGTTTAGCACTTAGGTGGTCTACACTGTCCTGTTTTGGAATGCAAGACTCCAGCGTCCTTGTTCTTCACAATATTTGGAAACATGGATGTGAATTTGGACGGAATGAGCAGAAACAGAGAGATGGTCACATGCAGTGAAGGTGGAGACATGCAGTCAAATATATAAACAAAAAGCATTCAGTCACTATCTATTGAGAAAAGTTGTATTTCTCATTTTCCTATTCCAAACACTATAAAATTTTAGATGTAAGATCAACAGTCTAAGATGTAATGAAGCATAGAATGAAAGCCTCGTAAGTATTTTTAAAAACCATTATGCTCTACATCCTGAATGGCAGCACTGTTATTTAATAGGTGCTATCATCCTTCTTGAGAATATATAAACATATAAAAAACCCCTTTGCTTAAGAAGATGCATATTTTGTCATTATATTCTGAAATTGTCCTGAAAATGGAAGTAAATTTCCTAATTTCATGCATTTTGATGAAGCCTTCATGTTCTATTGCCACACAGTCTGCTACAGTAAAAATTTTCAGTAATTCAAGAGCAAAGTAGAGTAGCTGATTCAGATTTTTTAAAAATAAAAATATATAGGGATATTTCTGAATTTCTAAGGAATTTTAATTTCTGCTGAAGCTGGACAATTTGTTCACAGCTTTCAATTTGGCAAAAACATTATTATCTTGTTAATTTATTATTAATTTTTAATGAAATATATTATAAAATCCATGAATGGAATTTTTTTTTTCAAATATCGAATTTGAATTTTAATAAGAAAACTCAGCAAAATTTGTGGTCCGCAAATAACCTAAGTTTTGTAATATATTTGCATCTATACCCATTAGGGTCAGGAATGGCCAAAATTTCTCTATAAGATCATAAATCTTCCAACTGTCACACCAAATCATGGAACAATATATATCATATTTAGGCAACCACTACATATTGTTTTATATACAGATAAGCTATTTACAGTTCATGTTCCAAAGTTCTATGTGCCTCAGATCTGTGTTAACAAATCTACACACAGAAATTTGACAATATTCCTACTGAAATTAAAAATTACTACTTCTGAAAGGAAAACATAACATTTTTATACAATTCAGTGTCCAATATTTTTAAATTATTCATTACTGTCTTGTAGAGGAGCCCTCAGCAGTTTGCAGTGAGTGTTACTTAATGTAGCCTTGAAGCCACCAGGAATGTCATGTTGAATACTTCCTGAATTTTACTGAAGTTTTCTTAAAGGCTGGATCTGCACAGTACCTGCAAGTACCAGGGGGCACTTGCTCTGCAGCTGGCTTCAGGTGACTCTGGGACAAGCATTCTTACACATGTATGCATGACTGACAAATGCTATTTCTCTTAAATGTAAATACATGCAATTTTTTTTAAAGGCTTATTTTATCCAGTCTTTGTTATATGCTGATATTATATGCAGATTTTTCCAAATGAACAGTCTGAAAAAAAATTTCAGCTACCATTAAATGCTCAGCTTTCATTCACCTTGTTTTTATCATCACTTACAATTTCACAGATCTCCAGATACCCATCTGTCTACACTGTAGACATTAGACATTTAGACTTCCTAATTTCTTATAGAAAAAAACAAAAAACTTTCAAGGAATTATGCTATAAAATGCAACAGCAAAACTATCCTTCAAAATATCTTATAGAAATACATGATACTAATAAAACATTTGCAAATTTTAACACTGAAATAATACATAACTGATGTCTTCATCTCATCATTGTATCAGAGTCACTTCTTCCTGATATGGCAAGTGAGCAAATACCAGAAGAACAATTTTGGGAAAACTTGTATCAAAATTTATGTTAATAACCATTAGAAATAAATGCAATGTTGCAAAAAAAAGTATCAAAATAATAATGCATAAGTCATAGATTTAGAAAGAAGTAATGCATAAGTCATAGATTTAAGAAATGTATTCAGAAATAGATTTTGATTATACTCCATATGCAAATTGGAACCATTTGTAATATAAATCTGTAACATACTCAAATGAAGAGTAAGATGAAGTCTTCAAAGCCAATTAATCTGTGAAGTATAATTTAAAAGTTTCTTAAGCAGTTAGTTTGTTATCCCTGTTGATCCATCAGACATTCTCCAAAAGCCACTCATTCAGTTGTCAAACTGACACAAGTATATCTTAAAAAAACTAATTATTGAACTGAGTAGTATTGGCCACATAATTACTATGTGGCTTAATCAAATGTAAGATTACAGAGTAGAGAACAAAAGTAAAGCACCTTCAATTCCCTCACTGATGTTGTCTCTACAGATATGCAAAAAACTCAGTGTTCTCCGAACTTCTCTTGATGTCGGAGGAAATCCTGGAACTCGTAGGCTGCAAACACTCATCAGCACTGAGGTTAGCTTAAATTCCATGTGTTCCTCAGTGCCTGACTGCTCATCACTGGGAGTTGGTGACCAGATTGCATGCAAAAATTACAAGCACAAGAAGGCACTGATTTCACACAGAAAATTAGACTCCTGTTTATCCATCTCAAAAACATTCCCATTACAGATTCCATAGCCTACAGATATTTCACTGTAAAATGTTTGCTGGTGGGCATTAGAGGATTTTAGCCTTTCTCCACAAAATTTTAGCTGATGTAAAAAGGCTTACTATTTGGCATTGAGAATGGCAGTACTTAAATGAAAACCTTATTTCACTGATTTTTTTTCAAGTCTGATACTCTGAAGTCAAATACAATCTTTCCATTAACTCAAAAAATGAGAACCAAAATTACTTTAAAAGGCCTAAAAGATATAAAATATATTTCTAAACTTAATAGTTTTCCCATCAAAAGGATGTGTTGGCAAAATTTCAGGAAATGCAGTGTCTGTAAGGGAGGACAGATTTGAAATGATGATTCACTACTTTAATTTTGTAATTTATAATGCTGTTTAACTCAAATTTAAAAAAAGGGAAATACTACACACAGTTACACTCTTCTCACCTGGTATGAGTGGAATATTTCCAGTATCAAGCAAACAAGATAAATCACAGTACAAATATCAGTACTGTGGTTAGACTGGTATTCCAGTCTTACAGTTTTAAATGCAACTTCCTAAATTCATGTACAGACTACATTAATCTGCATTTACATTAATCTGTCTTGTCACTTACTGCAATACAAAATACTGTAAGCAAAATTTTGAAATTGCACTAAAATATAAATTACAATGTCTGCTTAAAATAAAGCCAGATCTATCTGGAAATAAAATAACAAAGAAAAAAATTACTGCTGCCAAAGCAATGGGATACCAAAACTCATGTGATTAGAAAGTTTGTGAGAAGTATAAAACAAAAGTTCTTCTATTAATCATAGGTGATATTCAGCATAAAAATTTATTTAGAGGCCAGATGTTCTTAATCAAAACCTACCTTGTTAGGAATACCTGCTCCATGGAGGCCATCCTGATTTGGACAGAATTTACAGACTGTGCCAATTTTTACATACATCAACTAGAAAGTGTTAACAAGACCTCCAACATCTCAGCCTGTGGGGTTTTTTCCCATTAGGAACATTTTGTTGAAAAAAGGAAAACCAAAAGCAATGAAAACAAACATATACACAAGAATATGCTCTACAACAAGTATTTATCACATTATAAAGCACCACAGTGAAAACACCAGCACCATTTACAGAAGCAGATAAAAACAGACTAAAGAACATTAACACAGACGATGTGCTGTTGTTTCAGACATCAGATTTCGTGTCTTGTGACTATTCAGACAAACAGAAAACTTGAAAAGATGTTCATCCTTCTGTGCTTTATAGCAGTTCAACAAAATGCAGAGGTGATATCTAAACTGCTGATTTATTTTGGGCTTCTGGAGGTTGTGAGTCTCCACATAAATGCACACTTCTAAATTTCAGTGTACTCCTCTGAGAGTGCAAGATGCAGTAAGCCATTTTTCAACTGGGAGGAGTTGACTAGTACCTGTCATCCTCCGGAGATGCATGCTGGATATGAATCCTGGGACTAGTAGGTCGTCTCCTCTCTAGGGAGGGGGACCATCTACCCCTGTTTGCCCATTCAATAAAACAGGAAAAAAATACGGTATTTAGTTTGTGGTAAAATTAAATATATGGGATTTGGGACTGGAAAAATACCCCAAAAAGTAATGAAAGTGTGTAATTTAATATTTTTTTCTAACAGCTTTCTAATACCCAAGTATACTTTACTTAAGGCTGCTTAATGCAGAAACATCACATCTGAAATGAAGAGAAAGTGTGCCCAAAGATGCAGAATTTAGACCAATATAAATTGTCTATATGCTGTACCATTAAGTTTTCAAATAGTCTCAAATGCTAGACTGTCATTTGTGTAGGAAACTACAATTCCAAATTAGGAAAGACTTTTAAAGACCATATGATCATCAGTATCTTATTATTCTGCTAATCCCATCTCTCCTAGCTATCTACATGGAAAAATGTAATCTCAATAAAAATGTAGGACTATTAATTATGACAAAAGTTCTAGGGCATAAACTCACCCTTTTCTGGAATGCAGTGAAAGAATGCAGGTAAATTATTTAAATAAAACTAAGCTACACACATTTCTGTACAAGTATTGGGGTCATTTTTTATAATTTGAAAATATTTACTGGAAGTGTGTGCAGCCAGCTTCCTCTTCTGTTCATTTCTCTTTATCCCTGCAGTACATACCAGTACATTATGTTACACAACCATAGTGAACAAAAAAGGCCTCAGCTGAGAATGAAAACTGGTGTATTATGAGATTTTGTTTCTTGAAAAAGCTAATTCAATTCAGAATAATGTATACTATATTATAGACTGATGCTTATCTTATATTTTTGGGATGTCATGTGTTTGTAATGCAAGTGTATGAATAACAATCTACAATACCAAAACAATAGCAAAATGTTTACATGAACTCAACACAAGTATCTAATATTTCTCTTTCTGAGGCATTCTTCCAGTCCATGTAATAAGGAAAAGGGTTTGATTTATGGAACATGCAAATAACAAAGGTTTCAGGGACATGAGCATTATTTGAACAGTTAGGTAGGTCTTTCAGATATTTTAAGAGCAAATAGATTGTTAGTAATTAGTTTATTTTTCTCTCCAAAGCAAGAGTTAAAGAAAATGTTAATGCATCAGTGCACTCAGTCAAAGCCCTTAATATGCTGATATCCACTACAGATATTAAAGAGCATTTGATAGAATTAACTAGGTAATTCAGTAGGAATTTTCAGAACATGCTTTCTTTCATTGAATGCTGAATGACTGTGAGCCACAGTACGACACCAACATGTAACTACCTATTTCTTTACATGGTTGGAAAGAACCAGAAAGACAGCATGTCAAACACCTAATGCAAACAGTTATTTCACTGCACATTATTTTAAATGGAAATAGGGATATTCAACGTAACTGTTAAGGCATGCAATATAAAAATCAACACGAAATCAGGACAAGATTTAATCGGATCAACCTCCCTGGTACCTGTTTATGATGAGGTAACAGGTAACTGCTGAGCTTTATCTCTTGTTTAGACAGTAGTGGCCAACTGATGGCAAATATCTTGGTTTGATTCCCACTGCAGTGAGGCACCTCAGAAAAAATCGAATACAGCTGTGGGGCTGTATTTTGCAGGTTTGCTCACCCTTGTATGTGACTTAATCTCTAGGCTATGCTCCTCAGTTTTGCTTGCTCAGACCTCCACTAATGATGCCTCAGGCCAAAAGCATACCAGAAATACCAATCACGGCAACTGTTCTTGTGCTAACATACATGCAACTGCTTGCAACTGCAGAAATTCAGAAGGTAAATAATAGCCATGCTACATATTATTAACTATCACTGATGGCAATCTTAAGGGAATGTGCTATTAATATTAGAAACCGTTCCTAAACCAGTTCCGAGTCTGCCCCCTCATGTCTAAGTGTTCTCCTGACCAGAGATTGGGTGTTGAAATCAAATTTCTCCATTCTAAAGAAATAGCACCCAATTTATGAGGAAAAAAAAAAAAAAACCAGAAATTTTGAGACATAGTGAAAAGGATAATAATGAAAAAAACCCAAAGCATAATGAAGTAGTAGCAGGAAAAACACTTTTAGTGGCAATAGAGGACATATTATATACTTAAAGATGCCTTGCAGATCATCAAAGGAACTTCAAGCACAGAATCATTTTGAAAAACAAAATTCAACAAAACATCTTGGAATAAATAGAGGGTAGATGGTGGGAAGAGAAAAACAAAAGGCAGGCATGGTGCAACTGCATAGAGTTATTATAGGGGATTGATATTTTTGAATATCCTAGAGTATACTGTGCAAAAGAGAAGTATATGAAGGATTAAACTCTGTAAAAAATCAGTCTATATAACAAGAAACTTTAGCAGGCCTGTGTCAAGGCAAGCTTACTTTGCCAGTCAGGTTATATGGACATTACTTGGTCAAATGGAGGAACTTACAGGAGGAGAAAAGTAGTTCTGTCCTCACTGTTGTTTTGGTTCTGCTACCCTGAAACTAACTAGACTTTCATATCACAAATTCATATATACAGCTGAAAGTAGCTTTCTGCTAGTATAAGTGAGTCAATAGAATTACTTTTACTGGCAAAGCAGTGTCTTAAAAAGCAGTAACTACTCTGACCATTCCAAATGACATGAATGACATTGTATAAAGTTCAAGGATCAAAACTGTTTCCAGCAAATCAGTGACAAAGAGAAGTAGATCTCTACTGTCCATCTATTATAACATTACCATTTTGTTAAAATGTGTTTTATTTTAGCTCTTGTTCTCAAATATAATCTAATTCATACACACTGAGTCAAAAAGTTAAGGGGGAATAAGTAGAAGTCATTTTCCATAGGTAAATATATTCTTAATTTTGTTAAAGAAAATATACAATGGTGTATTTAGAAGTCTGTATTTAGAGGCATAAAAGTCTAGACTTTTAAACAATATCTACAATGCTGTCCTTCAGGGAGGGCAGAAGGAAAAAGAAACAACATGAAAACAACTAACAACGCCTTCAACATAAGCCTCTCAAATATACTGATAAAAGGCTGTCGATTGGATTTCACAAAACCTTAGAGTGCTTCTCTTTGCTGGAACAATTCTAGACCTGAGAAGTGTCTTGTCTCCTCTAAGTCTCCAGTAATGAAACAACCTTTTCCATATTGCCTATTACATTGTAATTTTTATTGTGTTCAGTGTTTCATTATAATTACTTTCAAAAGAGATTTGCTACTGCTTAAGGTGAACTTGCCTTACTGTATTTTAAATCTTTTGTTCTCATCTTGTCCAGCACAGAGCCAAAATGCTTTTTACAGTCCCTGAACTTTATTCTGTGTTCTTCAGACTAAGGATGCCTCTATCATCTCATGCAACTGATGATTAACTTCATGTTCAAGTGTAAGCAGATTCCACATTCAACAAAGGAGAATTAAATAATCTAAAATTTATGTTCCCCAAAACAAAAAGATTAATTTGATGGGGTTTACATATTAAACATAACATCCTCCTCCAAAATTTGGGCTGCATAGGAAAATCTTATATGTCACAAGAAATGAAAAAAAAATCCTCTGCCAAAGCCCTTCATACCTTACTATTTTCAATGAATTTATCAAGAAAAAGTTGGCTATCACTTTCTTTCTTCATAGAGCTTTTCTGCTCTATGAAGGATAATAAGTCAAAATATCCTATTTAGGACTTCTAAAGTTTTGTTCTGGATCAGACCCACTGATTATTTGGCAAAACCACATGTTTAGTAGCAACAGAGGGCATTAATACAGACTAAACACTTTCCTTTATATGCATCCTTCTGCTCATGCAAAATGATGCAGATTCTGCACAGTGCTCAGAAGTTGCTGGACATGAATTCTAACAGCATAATAGAACTACTTCACATCAGGAAAGATACAGTTTTGAGTATAAAATTTTTACTAGGTAGTTTATAATTGCCATTTAGTATTTCATTGAATATTCAATTTGATGGGTGGCATCTTGAAGTACAGAACACACTGTTCAAATTTATATGCAATTACATTAAGTAACTGCTTGTAGATGAAAGCAGCTGTATGTATGTACACACTCAGTTATTATGTTACAATATTTTTTAAAAAGATCTATAAAAATATCTGTATGAGTGTCTCTAAGTCAGATGGGTTATTTTTGCTTTTTTAATAACCATGTTCATATTATCTGTCATGTCTTGAGCTCAGACTTATAAAGAAATAAACTACCGTAGATCCATCAGAGATACCTCAGCAGAACATTAGCCACTTCTCTACAACAAGAACGTAACTTAACTAAAAGCACAGTTCCAACCAAGAAGCAGCAGAAAGTGGGGAGAAAGGAAAGGGAAATTATCAACAAAAAACTCAGGTGAAACCCTACCATCTCAAAGAGGAAAATGCATTCTTAGTGCCTTTCTTCAGGCATCCTGCCCCACAAAAAAGAAAATAACAAAACTGTTACAACCACCACACTGTGTATCAATTAAAAAAGCACTATTAACTTCCATAATAATTAAACATGTACTGGACAGACTAAAATGTGATTCTGTCCTATTCCCACTCAAAGGGAGCCTATTAGTGCCTATTATTGAGCCTAAAATCTCACTCTGAAGTGGTATAATTTTTGGCTAAAAACATGGGTAGTAATGAAAAATTCTTTTGTGGAATCACCTTTTTTACACCAGTAGTATTTGATTCACATAAAATTTTGAATCAAGCTCTTGTAATTGTGAAAGTACAGAAAGCATCCATAACATGCCTGCACAATGTATGTGACAAAATACTATTTCGTTTAAATTGTAAACGTCTTAAGACTTATGTGAACCTTAATATAATATCAGAGAGAAAAAAAACCTTAATGTAGTTAACCACCTTTAAAAAGCAGATGCAGCAGATTAAAGAGAGCAATGATGTGTGGCTGTTCTGTAAAAAATATATCGGTATTGATACCGTTCTGCTTTGAAATGGGTGAGAGTTTTGTTGTACTTTCTAATTTATGCCACTGCTTTATTAGCAGTCCACAGAACAAGCAAGAAACATGTAATGCTTTTTAGCAAATGATGATGAAGATTCACAACCAAGTGGTAGTTTCAAAATACTTAACACTGCAATGCTATTATCAGCATACTGAGGACTTTTGTACACAATGAACATCAGCTTGAACTAAAACAAAGGAAGTAGCCAGAAGCAGTCATAAACTCCAACACGCAATTTACATGACATACATGAATATAGGAGCAAAAATGTCTACAAATACCAAAGCAGACAAGAATGTACAAGAATGTGGAATACTCATATGAAGAAAAACAAAACTTATAAAGATCACCAGCACAGATGACAAGAAATTCATAAGTTTTTATTTGATACCTTTCTCGTTCTGGTGAATGCAAACTAGTATCTGGTCTCAAGCAGTTGGTACTAGCACTCCTAGCCCTGTCAAGGGAGGGCTGCAGTTCACTAGTGCCAGTGCATTGCATCCAATGGTAGAAGAGAAAGAAAAAGAAAACAAAGAAAGGAATACAATGTTAGATATTAACTCATAAAATAATGCTCTCTTTACAGAAAATGTTGAATCACAATGATTTAATTAAGGAAAACATGAAAGGGTTGACTGGATGATAGTGTCAAGATTTGTTTAGAAAATAAAAGCAAAAAAAAGGCTGCGAGAAATTTTTTTGCAAATATCATTGAAATGTTTAAAACTGAATGAGACAGAACAGCATCCACTTGTAAGAAAAGTGGAATGAGAAATACCAAACAATAAAGCTATATCCTTATTAACAGCAGTAAGTTTTAAGCCAACATAAAAGAATGTGATCCACTATATGTCATGTGAAATCCCTTTGCAGTAAAGCTCATTTATTCTTCAAAATTCATATTAGATACCAAACAAGTAGGGGGATTAATCCTCAGTATCTTACCTAACCAGTAGATCATCTCCAATTTTCGATATTCGTAAATTAAGGCAATCATGAAGGAGTGAAATATCCTGTCTAATCACGGGTTTGGTCTTAGCACATGCAGGAAGAGTTGAGCTTTGTAAATTAAAATTATTTAAACAAAATGAAAATAAATTTAACATTTAACAGAAATCTCATACATAAACAAAAGAATGTAATACAGAAAAACGTGCAACATACAATTTTAACAGTGAAGACAACTCCAACTAATTCAAAGTAGTTTGGTTTAGAGTTTTGTTGTAACATAGGTGTTAATTTAAATAACTAGATTAAGTTACTTTAGGATTTTAGCCCTTATCTCTCAATCACAAAAATATGTGAAACATTTTGGGTTTTTTTCTTTAACAAGGGAAGTCTATTTATTTTTTAAAAAAGAAGCTAACTACTTAAAGGGGACTCTAAACACTTCTTACCTGTATAGGTTCCAATGAGTACCATTTTCTAGTAAAGGCATCTTGGGTGGTAATGTTTTATAGTGCCTAACAGAACTTCTGGATTGTGGTGGGTCAGAAAAGAACACAGGACAACACAAAAACATGCCAGAAATAAAAAGACAGGTAAAGGCAAGCCAAGACTGACCAGAACATAAAATAAATTAATAATATTCTATTGTATTGTATAACTGTAGGAGTAGAAACCTCATCTATGTTTTTCTCAAGTACTGTGACAGCTATCTGGGGGAAAAAATTTGTATTAACCCTTCACTTAATAAAGTGCATGAGCTTATGGCAATGCTAGTGCAACTCAGATGTTTTCTTGAAATGGAAGTAATATGTATTCCATTTATAGATACTTTTATTTAAAATACTCAGACTGTTTTAAGTTTATATTAAATTTACCCTTTATTTCTCTTAGTGATGCCTTACTTAGACCTGCAGAGATTTTTACCTCTTCAGTAGCTAAGCATGAAAGTTTCACTAAAGCAGGGATATATAGTATCAAATATTTAATTACGGCGGTATTAGCAACTAGGTGTTTTGAATGTGTAAGTCTTTTGGAAGTGGCATACCAGCTTCAAAATTTACCAATAATAAAATGTTATTAATTATAAGCGAATTAAAAAACCTAGGAGAATTACTACATCAGCCAACACAGCAGCACTAAGGTGTCACGTGACAACTGTCTAATATCATCATAGGTTTTAGAGAAGGAAATGTTTATTTTATCAGCCAGCTCTATCCATTGAACAAGAAAGAAATTTAAAGGCAGACAGGGGCCGCTGAATGGGAATTCTGGCCATTTAACGGCTAAGGGTTAGTAACAACATTCTAACAATTTTCCACATGCCCTACTAGGGCACAACTATGGAACTACTAGAAGAAGAACCAGCAGGCTTGAGGGTTTTGCAGCAATCTGTCCTGATAGGTCATTTGATTCCTGTTGAGCCTTGGACAAAAACACAGCACGATCAACATTAGAAACCTGGCTGTGCCACAGACAGAATAATCAATTTAACAGAGCAGCTTTGACCTTTCTTGTATGGGTTTAGTGGTCACCATTGGTGAATTCTCTATCAGAGGTCACTGCAACACTGCACAGGACAAACAAAGGAATGGCTGTCATCAGGCCAATCCTGGCATATGAGCAGATATTACCAAAGCAGGGGTGACCTAAGACATGGAATGTGGCAATCCATGTTCTATAGGTACACACCTTTCCACCATTTCTAGTTATTAATAATTGTATACAGAGCAACAGGACGGATAGCTAGGACTAGTATTCCAAACTGGTGCATTAAATTCACCATATATCTTAACTTTGTAGCTTGGACTACTAAATTTCTTTCATTTAACATGAAACCATTAACATTTCTTTCCCAGCTGAAGCTGTCTCAAGGACTAATTAAACCTGTTCAGCAAGCTGCCTAGGAAACAAAAGATAAAGCCTTGTAAAATTTCTAACATGAATAAATGTTGGGTCACTAGAAATAAGAAGGGACAGAAGATGGCATAGAACAAATTTTTGCTGAAAATTTTTTCAAAACTGTTTTCAAAACTGTTCTTTCAAGAATGTATATTGCAAGCCTCAGGGTATTATTTGGAATTGGGGTGTATAAGTCTCAGAGTTAAATTTTAAAAATCAATCTATTGTCATCTTTTGCTTTTATATTCATCTTCAATACATTGTATGGTCTAAGTACCATCCTGCTTCACAGTGTACCACTACTATTACTTTTTAAGGGTGAATTTTTTGGGTTTTTTGATCACAAAAATACTGTAACAATAAATGGAATAAAGAAAAAGGCAAGGAAGTGCTGTAGGCTCTAAAATCAGTATAGCTATTACCTAACTCTATTGCTGTCCTTGCAAAAAGGACACAACTTGCAAAAAGTTGTGCACAACTTTTTGCTGTGACCAAAACTGGTTTGGTAGATTTGTAAAACTGTTAGGCAAAGTGCACCAGAAGTATATAGTGCTGTATTTGCTTCATTAATTGAGACTTCAAGCAATGTCAGGAAAAATTATAATAACAATTGCAGTCTTTAAGAGGGAAAGGAGAAAGCACAGGGCTGGGGGCAGGAAAAGGAAGAAGCTACAAAAGATGGAGCAAAAGGGACATGGGGAAGAGGCAGGAAAAATTGCTATTATCTGACAATAACCAGACAAAAAATAAGTTAAATAAATTATTAAACCCTAAAATAAATATTATTATTAAACCCTAAAATTAAAATCTTGAGGAAAAAGCCTTTTTATCTTAAGTACAAGAATGAAATATTTCTATTGATAATAAAAACTTAATTTAACAGTTTCACTGATGCAGATTTTTTGGAAACTTACATATTTATTATTTTAATTTTTATATGACTCTGCTTTAGAACAAAAACCCCATCATAGCATTTTCAATACTGCTTCAAATTTGATGAAGAAAATTAAAGCAAGCCAAGACATTTAAAAAAATAAACAGTACTTTGTAAGAGAAAATCCTAAATTAAATAAATAAATAATAGCACTAGACAATATGGTTTAACATTTGGTGATTTTAAACATTTAGCACTGACACAAAACTCTCATCAACACCCAGATCCTGAAGGGATAAAGGATAACTACCTGGCTGAATTAGTGGAATGGTTAACTACTTTAACTTCAACCTACATTTTTACTTATTGTAAATAAAAGATGTTCTAGACAATGTCATGGATTTTTAATATGGTTAACAGACATGGTGAAAAAAAAGGGTGGGGGAGCAGACTTTGATTTTTCAGATAAAGATATTTCAGTCCTGTTTGGTTTCACAACACTGGAAAGTGGTAAGACAGGGAACTCCTAGCTTTGGAACAAGCAATTAATGAAGACTGAAGATGGGCCCAAACTACAAAGTTTACATGAGAAAATTTTTGGATGTAAAACCAAGTAATACAAAACCCCTCAAATCTGGGACTTCCAGTAAGCCCTCGTACATCAGTATTTATTCCTCTGCAAGTGACTAAATCAGCATGAGATTAGGTGTCACAACAAGCAAAGATTGTTTAATTGTGCATGGCTGTTATACAAACATAAAAATGCAAATAAAAGAAAACAAAATCAACTAAAAAAAATAATGTTTGAAATTATTACAATACTGTCATGCATTGGAAGATCAGGACTTTCATGACTAAACAGAAAATCTACCACAAAATACAACTGCAAAACCAAAGTTCCTTCAACTCCTTTAATCCTTACTACTGAGGTTCAAAAACAGATACACACATCTGAATCTAAATTAAAACAGACAAAAAAGAACAACTGACATCTGGATCACAGTGAACTTGGAAGTTCTTTACATACTGGGACTAAATACCACCATGGGAAAACGTTGGGCACACAAAGTACGCAGAACTAACCAGATGTGTTCATGATTCCCACACTCCTGTATTTACCTGATGGTATGTAGGCACTCTGCACTTCTTCCTCGCTTTGCTCTGGGCAGCATAAGAAGCTCACTGCACAGACAGGATGGGTGGTGAGTGAAACAGATATAGTTATGAAGCATTAGATGACATGGGTTATGCCAATGATAAGCAAATGAAAACGTAAAAAAAAATGAGAAGCATTCACCCAGATAGATAGTCTGATAAGACTGCATGTCTCAAAAAATGTGAGTTAAAAAATGCATGTAATAGCTACACTTTCAACAAGATCATTTTAGTATGGCACCTCTTTCTGTGATATGTTTCTTTTAAATTCAGAATTACTTTTTCAGAGCTCTTCATAATGAAACAAATAACATAGAATGGCTACAGTTTTCTAATAACCTCCTGTCTCATGAACTAATTAATGGAGAACTGCTTTAGGAAAAAAAAGAAAGATGCCTGTTTGTTTCGTGTTGGGTTTTGTGGCTTCTGAAGCTGCAAAATCATACATGTAAAAGCAGTGAAGGTTTGATAATGATTTAATGCAGATTAGTTTATGGGAAGAATAACCAGTCACCCTTTAGGGAAAATCAAAAATATACGTTCATTTGAAATATTGTGTTTGGCCAAACATAAATTCTGACTCATAGCTCTTCAAAGGCTTTTGAAATGACAATCCTAAAGAAACAAACAAAAAAGCTAATCAGCCATCAGACTTTTTGTTTCGTATTCTTTCAAACTGAGGATAATCAGCCATCTATTCTATTTTTATTATAAGCAAACACATACTATAGCCAGCAAGATGGTAAAATTAATGCATATTTATGCCTATGGTAAATATGACTATGATATGAAATATTCCTTGAATTAAGCCTGCAGTTTTATGCATTTCAACACAATCATAAAGACCAAGCTCCAAAGCTCCTATAATTGTAAATATGAAATTAAAGGTAAGCTTCATGGAAACATGCTAATTTTAAAAGAAGCAGGGAATCCCATGAAGAAAAAAAAAAAAAAAAAAAAAAAAAA